TCAAGGGCCTGAATAAACTGCTAAAAGAAGATTCCTGAGTCACGTCTTCCTTGCGGGCAAGGGGGTCGTGACACCAACTAATTGCTCTCTTCTGGTTTTCTTCTATATTGAGAGTTTCTTAGAACAGTGGGAATGGTGGATAGGACTACAATTTTGGCTGACCCAGCATTTCTTACTTAATGTAAGAAGTTGCAGCTGGAAAATTTCTAAGCTTGAAAGCTGGGATACATAATACTCTTTGTTTTCAGATTTGGTCCATCATAATTGATTTTGGCAAAATGAAATTTATATAACTATTAACTTCTATTCAATTTAAATAGCAAAGGTTTTATGTTGAGAGGAACTCTGTGGACTCCTGGACAATCTGAAAATGAAGAGAAGGTCATGTTGTGAAAATGCCAGGATTTTTGCTATGGGCTTGGTGAGTTTCATGGGAGATAGGGTTTGCTAACTCAGGGTGTGTCTTAGAAAGGGATAGCAAACTACTGGGATCTAGTGGAGCCTACTTATTGTACTGGAGTATTTGGGAGGGAAATAATCAGGCTGGCAGGCTTTGCTTCCAGAGATATAGGGTAGATAGGTGGGAAGGAGACAGGGAATATATGACTGCTATATAATATTTCTGTTGGCAACACAGAATTTTGGGTCTTCATTCTCTTCTTGGCATAAGGCCAGTTGTATTATACTTATTTCTTTTCCAGATTTTCTTCATGTTCACTTCTATAGCCCTAGGCATCATCACTGACTTATCTGGTACTAGACCACTAGAGGAACTATGATTGCCAATAGACCTTCTGTCTGAACAGCCCAGTCCCCAAATGTCTAAATGCAGACCTCATGTTCCACTGAATCATGAGAGTAAATCAGAGCATCCCTGTAATCAAAAGTTTCCCACTTTCATTTTCTCATGCTCTTTTTCCATTCCCATTTAAATGGTAGGGCTCATCTTGCCACATCTGCAATTTAAATGGGAAGTAGAGAAGGAAGCAAATTAATTCATAATAAATTAATTATGCCAGGCTAATAAGTGTGATTGAAAATTGTTAGGGGTGGTACTAGACTCAACTGACATAGTTTACATTTTGGTTTACTTTCAAACCAGCAAATAACTCCTGCCAAGTGTACCTGAGATAAGGATGCAAATGAGAGGATACTGTTCTTCAGGTAATCAGGGAGCTGAATTTTGGTGGTAAAGTTTCCAATATAAAGTGGGAAAACTGCCAGTTGAACGAACAAAGAAACCATATACTTGTAAACTTAGACTTAAAAGTCTACCTACTTAAGGGAAATTCTTTCAGCACCCAGATGGGCCATAGTTATATGATCTGTGTTCCAGTTTGTTTACATCATTAGGGCCTCAGCATGCATGGCCATATCTTGCCATTGAACTCTGCTCTTCTTAATTTCCATGCTCTTGTTATCGATCTCATTCATTACTGTTTTTAATGCCATCTACATACTAACAGCAGTGAAATGTACATCTTCAATTAGTAACTGATGTTGAGCACTAGGCCTTGGGATCCAATTGTCAGTGTAACAATACTGATTAATATTTATTCACATGTTCCTCAAATGTCTTATCACCAAGGTCAGCTATCCGTTACCTTTATAGATATTTCTTCTCCCTGAGTCTTTCCACTTCTCAGTAAATGGCACTTCCATTTTTCTGTATTTTCAGTTTGAAACTTGAAATTCATCATTGATTGGCTTTCCTTTTTTCTCCATACATATCTTCTCTGCTCCCCTTAATTTATTTTTAATGTACCCACTTTTCCTCATCATTCTCCTCTAAGCTAAACTCATTTCTTTCTGTAGACTATTCCCATAGTCTTATCACAGATAGTATTTCCCTTTATGTGTCTTCAGATTCCCTTTGCTACACAGCAAATACAATCATTGTTTTCAAATGAAATGTATAATATACTTATAGTTTGTCAATAACTTTCTCTATACTTAGAATGAAAGGAACTTGGACTCATTTTCATAATTTTTGGGCTTGTCAGGATGTGGTAGATAACTGTACCTTGAACACTTTCTTTTGAAATTAAGAAGATGATGTTTTGAATTCTGTTTCTTTCCTTTAGTCTGTGACTCAAAGGATAAAATATATAGTGTGTATTAAAAGTATTTTTCATTTTTTTTGACCTGAAAACAAGGGCAATATAAAGTAGCTTCATTAATTCTTTCCCACTATGAAAGAAAAAGTATCTAGGGATGTGTGACTTCTTAAGGACACAGGCACAGATTATATGTTTATATTGAGATGAAATAAGGAAAACATGACATCACAGATGGTGAGTGATTTCAATGTTTTTACTCTCAATTTCTATAAACCACAGTAAACATAACCTTGGTTATTACAGCACAATATTAGATGTGATAATGTTGATAATTCTCAATAAACTGAGACCAAATCTGTTTTTTCCAAATATATTGTTCTTTTTTTTATTTGTTTCAACTATATGAATATATAATTTTAACTTCAATGAAGTTTGAAATAAATTCCAAAAAACTTTTGTATAAAATAACAGACAACAATAATATAAAAGCTCTTTTATTCATCGCTACATATGATAAAATGAGTAAATACAATTATTAAAGTTGATTTAGTCTGTATTTTGAATATCTTTGGATGTTTATATTTAATTAAAGTATTCTTTCTAGACCTCTTAAAATTATTTTTATGAGTTAATTATCCAAAGAAGAATTTAAAAATTCACAGGTATCCTTCAATTTTGTTGATCATATTAAAACCAAGTCCTTGGTCTACTTGCATTTTTTTTCTTCTTTAAAATATAAATGGTGGTACTTAAAATAATACTAACAACTACCACAGATCCAACCACTGACAACATCAAGGTAGAAATGTTAACTCCAGGGTTTGGTTGGCTTTCATCAGGACCAGGATCTGCTTGGGGGATAAACAAAGCTACACGTACAATGTTGGATACTTTTGATATCAAATTGCTTTTATCTACACTTTGAATGGCAATGAATATGTGGGTTGCATTTTCTTCTGAGATGTTTCCTGGTTTAAATGCAAAGGTTTCCTTGGAGTTGGCCTCTTTTGGTAACAGGTTGGTAGTATTAACTTGAAGCGCATCATCAAAATTGTCTCTTAGATCCATAATACTTCTACTTATTCTTATGATATACTGTTGAACTAAGAAAAATAGTTATGCATGTTGTAGGATCTAGAGTATACCATTTTAAATTCCTTTTTATTTATTCTTTTAAAAATGACTAATCATGCAAAGAGATGCTTATATTTACATCATTATTTACCTAGCTGTTAAATTCTGACTTTTACAACTTTGCCAAATCTAACTTTTTTTTTTCTTGGTGAGAAAAGTTTGGACCAGGTTAACATGTGTCATTTGATTAAGTCAAAGAATCAGATTATAAAACTAATTCTTTGTTAAGTCATCAATTAAAAACTTCCCCACTCCTCCACCTTTATACCTTCAATTTTGCAACGAGTACCTTTCATTTATAACCATAAAACATTCATCCTTACCTTTTCCAACATCAAAATTATCTCCTGGTGCTGTCCATGTTAGATTGATCTGATTCCCCTCAGCTGTGGCATCAAGGTCTGTGATTTGACTTGGTGGAAACTGGTCAGGCAAAGGAAGCTGTGGAACTTGGGATACCACAAATGCACCTCCAGATGCTGTTCTGCTGAAACTCTCCAAAAATGTTTGAGTATCCTCATCATTTTCAGGACTTGGTAGATTCTCTTCAATTTTAGCTGTGTTAAAAAATTCCTGGTTTTTAAGGAACAGAACAGTACTAGTACTTTTAAAACTCAACAAATGAAATTCTCCACAGGTCTTTTACTTTTTATTCATATACATGTCACATTTTACTAAGTTTGGTGACAAAGTCAAAGGTCAAGAAAGAAAAAAGTGTTGTGAAATTGTAACCCAGAAGTATTATATAAAAGTTATAAAAATCATTTGCTCAGTATTGTTTTTAATGATTTCTAGAATATTCCTACACCTGATGTTTTTAAATATGTAACATCTAATTGATCAGATATTCTTCTCTTGACTACTACAGATTACCCCTTTACTATCCTATGTCACACAAATTATATAGCTAACTTGGTAATTCAAACACTGGGTGATACTGTTCTTCAAAAGTTATGAGATTCATTGACTTTGTTTTTGTGCATTCAAAAATCTTTGGTAAGGGAATTCTATCTTTAACATCCTGACCAGGATATTGAAGGATACAATCAAATAATGAATTGTTTTGTAATTAAGGGTACTTAGAATGGAAATAATGTTACATAATTCAATAACTTCCCTTTTACAGTCACATAATAATTGTACATATTTATTGAGTATAATATAATGTTTTAACACATGTATACATTGTGTAATTGTCAAGTCAGGGTAATTATATATCCATCACCTTTTATCATTTTTTGTAATTGTGAGAACATTTAGCACTATTAATTTCTTTTTCTTGCCTAGTTGCTTTGGCTAGGACTATTGGTACTGTCAAATAGAACTGGTAAGAGTAGCATTCCTGTAATATTTTCTGATCTTATAGGATAAACTTTTAGATTTTCAACACTGAGTATAATGTTAACTTTAGGTTTTTCATATGTGGGCTTTTTATGTTGAGCTACTTTTTTTCTAGTTTGTTGAATTTTTATCATGAAAGACTTAAATTTTGTCAAATTCTTTTTCTGCATCAATTGAAATAATCATTGTTTTATTCTGATAATGTGGTATACTATACTAATTGATTTTTATTGGACTATACTTGCCCTCAAAAAATAAATCCCACAAGGTCATGGCATATAATCTTTAAAATATACTACTAAATTTTGTTTTCTGATATTTTGTTGGGGACTTTTGTTTCAGTATTCATAAGGAGTTGCAATGTCTGAATGTTTGTCTCCAGAATTCATATTCTGCAATCCTAGCCCTTTTGGTGGTAATATTAGGTGGTGGAGCCTTTGGGAGGTGATTAAGTAATGAGGGTAGAGTCTTCATAAATGGAATTTGTGTCCTTATAAAGGAGGTTGAGAGAGTCCTTACCCTTTCTGTTTTGTGGGGTTACAGCTAGAATACAGATATAAACCACGAAGTGGGCTTTCACCAGACATTAAATTACTGGTGCCTTAATCTTGGACTTCCAAGACTCTGGAACTATGAGAAAAAAAATTCTTTTGTATATAAACTACCCAGTTTAGATTATTTTTATGATAGTAGCTCAAATGGATTAAGATAGGGATACAGTATGCAGTGTTTTTTCTTGTAATATTTTTGGCTTTGATATCAGTGCTGGCTTTATAGGATGAATTTGGAAGTAATTGCTCCTTTTCAATTTTGGTGGGGGGAAAGTTGAGGATTGTTGTTAGTTCTTTAAATGTTTTGTGGAATTCACCTGTGAAGCTATCAGGTTCAGGGCTTTTCTTTGTTGGGATTCATTCTTCTTACTAGTTAGAGGTCTATTCTGATTTTGTATTTCTTTTCATTATAGTCTTGGTAGAGTTTGTGTATCTAGGAATTTCTCATTTTATCTAAGTCATTTCATGTGATTATTTACAATTTTTTAATACTTTCTTCTAGTTCTTTGTGTTCCTGTAGAATTGGTAATAATGTTCTCACTTTCATTTCTAATATTTGGTTTTAGTGATTTATCTCTCTTTTTTTTAGTTTATCAAGATAAAATTTCATCATATTTGTTAACATTTTCAAAGAACTCTGATTTTATCGATTTTCTCCATTTTTCTATTTTATTTTTGTCTATTCTGATCTGTATTATTTTATATCTCTGCCAAATTTGAATTGTTTGTTTGTCTTTTTCCTAATTCATGAAGTAGAAATGTTAGGCTGTTGACTTGAGATATTTATTCTTTTTTTAATGTAAGTATTTAGAGTTGTAAGTTTCCCTCTTAGTTCTGAATGTATGTGCACTTAAGAATTGTTTTTGGTGGAGAGTGGCATCCCCCTCCCCTGAGTTGGAATGGAACTTCCCAGCATTATGTTAGTAAAGACCAAAGGACATGACATTTTCTCCCATTTTCCTGTGCTAAATGTATCAGTGTGCCTGTGTGTGTCTCTGTGAGTGTGCAGGATCACATTTAACTTCTCTTACCTCAACTCAGGGATATTTAAGTCTATTTTCTGATGCAAGAGATTATAAATTACTTAAACATGAAAAAAAAAGAATTGTTTTTTTTCTTGTTCAGTAGATTGATCTATATAGATCTATCAGATTTTGTTGATTTATTGTGTTGTTAAATTCCTATTTTTCATTATTTATATTTTCTCTGTGTGTTCTCTCATTATTGAAGTCTCAATAATTGAAGTCTCAAATTATCATTGATGAACCTTCTGTTTTAGTATTAAATTCTTTCAAGTTTGTATTATAGTTTGAGGGTATATTACTAGGTGGATATATGTTTATAATGGCTATATCATTTGCTGTGTTAAATGAACCTTTTATTAATATATAATGCCTTTCTTTATCTCTTATAAACTTTTTAAATGTAAAAATCTATTTTGTCTGATATTAATATAGCATTCCAGTTCTTTTGATTATTAGTTTCATGGAGTATCTTTTTTTAATATGTATTTTTTAGCTTTAGGTGGACACAGTATCTTTATTTTATTTTTATGTGGTACTGAGGATCAAACCCAGTGCCTCATGCATGCTAGGCGAGAGCACTCTACCACTGAGCCAAAACCCCAGCCCTGGGGTATCTGTTTATACTTTTTCACTTTCAAGCTATTTTTGTCCTTGGATCAAAAGTAAATCTCTTATAGCCTTTATATAGTTGGATTTAAAACAATCTATTCTGCTATAATCTGTTTTTTGTGTGTGTGTCTGTGTGTATGTGTATGTGTGTGTGGGGGGGGCTGTTGCTAAGGATCAAAACCCAGATCTTGTATATGCTAGGCAAGCACTCTATAACTAAGCTACATAACAATTCTTATCTTTGTCTTTTGATGACAGAATTTAGTCTATTTGTATTTAAGGTAATTACTAACAAGTAGGGCCTTACTTTTGCTATATTTATATTTGTGTTCTATATGCCTTATAGCTTTTTTGGTCTCTAATTTCCTGTATTACTGTCTTCTTTTTGTGTTTAGTTGATTTTTTTGTAGTAAAACATTTTATTTCTTTCTTATTTTCTTTTATGTTTATATTACAGCCTTTTTGTTGTAACATAGACTATATTCAAAATCTAAATTAATAACATTCTAATTTGAAATCATACCAGCTTAACTGCAAAGGGATATAAAACCCCTGCTCTTATACGGTTCTGTACACATCGCCTCTCAAGTACTGGTGTTACAAATTGTATTGCCTTGTGTGTCCAAAAACATGGACAAATAATTGTTTTTACTCATTAGTTTCTTAAATCAGGTTGAAAATAAAAAACGTTGTAGAAACCAAAAATACAACAAAAGTAGCTTTGATAATTTCTCGTGTATTTTCCTTTTTCAGAGATTTTTATTTCTTAATTTGGCTTGAGAATATTTCATGATTTTTTCATTTTGAACTGAGAGATTCTGTTTAATATTTTTTTGCAGGGCAGATCTAGTGATAATTAACTACCTTAACTTTTGTTTATTCGAGAAAATCAACTTTCTCTTATTTTTGAAGGATAGCTTTGTTGGATTCAGGATTTCAGTTGACAGTTTTCTTCTTTCAGCCTTCAGATATTCTCCCTGCCCTGTTCTATCTACTCCTTTTCTTCTGAGACTATTACTATGTACATATTGATCCACATGAGTTCTTCCACAGATCCTTTCAGCCCTTTTCACTTTTCTGCAACTTTTTCTTTCTGTTCCTCAGATAAAATAGTTTTAATTTTATTAACTTCAAGTTCTCTGTTTTTTCATTCTTCCCACTTAAGTCTTTAGAATCTGTGTAATAAATTTTTAATTTCAGTTATAATTGTCAGCTCTAGAATTTATTTTTGGGTCCTATTTATATTTTTAAACTATTGATATTGCCATTGTGTTCACATGTTTTTTTCCTTGACTGTGCACATCTTCCTTTAGTTCTTTGAGCATCTTTTTAAAAGGTTGTTTCAAAGTCTTTGTCTAATCAATCTACACCTGGTCTTCCTCAGGGAAATTCCTTATCAATTTATTTTTTTTTGGATGGGCCATACTTTCCTGTTTCATTATATACATTTTGATTTTTGTTGTTGTTGGAAACTAGACATTTGAATATTATATGTGATAATCCTGGAAATCAGTTCACCCTTTTCCAGAGTTTTCTGTTTTAAAGAAATAATCATAGAGTTCCTCTATGACATAAATGAGCCTGAGGTGTAAACTTAAGGATTCTCTGTTCTTTTGTGAGCCTATGTTTTTCCTTAGACATGCATGGTGACTTTCTAAATTACCTACATATGTGGTTGCATTTGAATGTCATAATCTTTAAGTGTTGGGATCACAAATGTGGTAATAGGGAAAAATGACAGAGAAAAAAATAATCTGTGTCTTTAAGTCCCTTGAAAACTGCTTCAACTGGAGGGGCTGCTTCTGTTTCTATTCTCCATAATTGGAAAGAACATTTAGCTAGTAGTGAGGGTAAGGTTTTATTGCCCACCCTGACTCATTCAACCACCCCCAGAGTATGGGCCATATGCCATGGAACTAGAAGGAAAGAGTAATTGCAATGAGAATAAGAGCTGAAATTAACCTCAGTTTCCTGCAAAGTATAATTGAAATCTTCCCCTGGAAGCTGAAAGCATTCAAATAAATTCTAGAGTTCCATACTCATTATATTAGACAAATTATGCCAGTACAAGTATTCTCTAGGTAGAGATATGGATTCCTGGCACTGCCTACTCTGCTGTCTTCCCTGATAGCAATTCTATCAAGAATGTATACTTTTCTCATTTTTTTCTTTTTCACTGTGTGCATTATAGTTACACATAATGGTGGGCTGGATTTGTGTTACATATTCATACATGCACTTAGTATAACAATATAATTTGGCTGATATCATTCCCTAGTGTTTCCCTTTTTCCTCCCTTCGTCCTTTTACTCTACTCTACTGATCTCCCTTTGATTTAAGAATATATTCTTTTTTTGATACTGGGGTTTGAACTCTGGGGCACTCAAACACTAAGCCACATCTCCAGTTCTATTTTGTATTTTATTTAGAGACAGGGTCTTAAGTTGCTTGGTGCCTCACTTTTGCTGAGACTGGCTTTGAACTTGCAATCCTCCTGCCTCAGCCTCCTGTGCCACCTGTAATTCACAGGTGTGTGCTACTGTGGGCGACTAAGAATGTATTCTTAATCCTTATCACTAAGTGAAACCAGACATTTTTTTCTTTTTAATTTAATAAATTGTTTTCTTATTAACATTTCTTTTATAGCATATGTAATCTGAGGGATAAATTTTGCTACTGGCTTGTATTTAACTTCATGACATATAGGCTTTTTTCCTTTGCCCGAGCTGAAAATTTGATTTATTATTGTTGATCTTTGTAAGGTGCTCCAAACTAATATAATAACATCTGACATTTACTGAATGCTTACTAGACACCAGATACTATGCTATGTCTTAGATTAATTTGGAGGCAAATCTCAATATGATTGAGATCATCAGTACAGAAATATGAGAAGTTATATAGTTGGCCCTTTATTTTTGCAGGTTCCATGTTGGAAGATTTAACAAATGATGGATCAAAATTATGTTTTTAAAATATTTATGTTTGACCCTTGTACTGAATATTTACAGACTTTTTCTTATCATTATCCCTAAGTAACATAGTATATCAATTATTTACATGGCATTTAAATGGAATTAAGTATTATAAGTAATCTAGAAATAATTTAAAGTGTGCAGGGATATGTGTATGTGTTACGCAAATACTATAATATTGAAATAAGAGACTTAAACATCCATGAAGTTTGGTATCCATGATGGGTCATAGAACAAATCCTCCATATACTTAGAAATAACTATACTTTGAGTTATAAAATCTTTAAAGCTTTAATCATATCACCCCATAAATATTATTCAAACCAGCACTGGATTTCTGAGGTAATGAATTACTCACCATTGACTACCCAGCCTGAGAGACGTGAAGCAGTATTCAGTGGGTGTTTTAAGCTTCTCATGGCAGTATTTGTTCCTCCATAAGCTTGTACTTTTAAGCTATATATTCCATTTTCTTCATAAGCTGTGAAGTACCTGGAGTATACCCCATCATCCTTGTAAGAATCAGCACCTTATTATAGAAAGAAGGAAGAAGTTATTATTGAAAAAAAGAGAAATTTATTATTTTCTAAGCCAAGCATATAGGGCTACCATCTCCAAAATAGAGAATATTTCCATTATGCTTTGGTAGAGCATAATATCTTGTGTTGATAGTTTTGAATAATTATGAAATATATAGATTTGTGGATATATTTCATATTACTTATGGCATTATAAATTCATGTTATTTAATATATATACAATAAATACCTCACATGTATATGATGAGTGAAGATGATGTAGAATTTCCTCATACATATGTGCATGTATGTATGATAAATACCTCTGGCCCTTAACATATTGTATTGAGATTATCCTATTATCCTTCTTATTGTGTTCCCAGCTAAATGGCCTAATTTTAGCTTTATATAAACATTAATTATGCCATCTTTGTTCAATTCAAAAGGCCTTACTAAAGATGTATCTTTGCTTAGTATTGAATTCTTATCCTCATCAACTACCAAGTATCTATTTAGACTTAGCCTCCACTTTATTTATTTTTTAATCCATAGTTCTTGCTTTCTTGATTCATTAGCTCTCTGGTTTGTCAGTGGAAAAATCCCATTTACTTTTAGAATGAATATCTAGAGGACTCAAGAATACTGTGTTATAAGTATACTTCTAGATTTTTACCAGCATTGGAGTTCCTCATTAAATTCCCAATTCATTTTCCAGGGGGTTTTATACTCTAACTCAGAGATCCTGAAGTGATATCCTTAGTCCAGGATTATCTGCTTTTCTCTGGATTGTTTTCAGAAATGCATGCTTTCTTCCAGCTATGGGAATTACTCTTCTTTCCCTTTTCCTCCCAAGGGCCTGGTTAATCCCATCTGACTGCTTGGCTTCATCCTCCTTGGCCAGACTCTTTTGATGATGCTCCTCCCCCTAAGAAGCAAATGTCTATATTGATTCTATCCTTGCTCTCCTGAAAGAGACCTTCTTAACTGGTGATAGACAATTGGCTCTCTAGTGACAAACAATAAAGATGACAATAAATAACATTTATTGAGTGGTTAGCATTCGCAAGTCACTTGCACTTTGTAGGTTTTACCTTATAGAATTTCCTGCTGGTTCTGCTATTCCTCCATTCTTTGGGTACCTGTCTTTCTGCCCCAGGCTACCACAGAGCCCCTTACTATATCCTGGGTTATAACAATATAAGCTTATTCATAAAAGTCTATGAATCACCTGCACCATTGTCCAAAAGTTCCAAAACTTGTGTTTTTCCACTGTTTGATTCAATAAAAGCAGTCACACTGGCTCCAATAATGGGGACATATCCTTGTAGAACTTGTGCATAAATGATCATCGGGCTGGGGAAACTGTTTGTGTCTTTGTTCATTTTAGCATTCACTGTGATTGGAGGCACAGAAGAATTTGCTGCCCGAGAGGTTACTGTCATTGTTAGTGTTTCTGGGTTTGCTTTGGCCTGAAGACTGTAAGTCCATATGCCCACCTAAAATTTTCATGGAAATATAATAAGTTTCTGTTGGCAAACCATTTTCTGTGTTTCCATTATGCAATTTGAAAAAAAAAATCTTGTAAGAGAAACCAAACAGACTTTTGAGGGATTACATGATATCCCATGATAAGAACTAAGGCAATTCATTTATAGAATCTTGATTAATGTCATGAATAGTGTCTACACCTGGTGAAATTTCTGGTTGGAAATACATAGTTTGAAAGGCGGTCTATATTTAGGTCTTTATTCTTTGGCTTGAACCTATACATTGCATTCTTTTTTAAAAATTTTTTTTAGTTGTATATGGACACAATATCTTTATTTATTTATTTTTAATGTGGTGCTGAGGAACGAACCCAGTGCCTCACACGTGTTAGGCAAGCGCTCTACTGCTGAGCCACAACCCCAGCCTTATACATTGCATTTTAATTGGAGTTAATTAGGAAGGAAATTTTAGCAATGTGTATGCCATGTTCAAAAGATCTCTTACATTTACTCTTCAAAACTTTTTTAAGGTAACTTATATTTTATGCCCCACACCCCGCCGCTTTTTTCTTCTTACTCCTACTTATGTTCTTATTTTTTTTCTCCTTCCATAAAATTCTTAGGATCACACATAGATGGAAATAACATTCTGTTTTACCATAATTTTGAACATGATATCATTATTGGCACACAGACATTTAAAAATTACATTTATAGCATTAAAGAATTTGTTTTTATGTTCTGAAATTTTTTTGAAAGAAATATAGAAGCTGATTGCTTACCCGTGCATTTCCTGGAATACTGAGATAGGCCATTTTGGAATGACTGTCCACTATGAAACTTCTCATCAGTGTTCCATTAGGATCCCAGAGAGAAATAGTAGGAGGCTGATTATCCCATGTGATGAAAAAGAATGAGTCTTTTCCCACTGTGCTATCAATTACTAGAGAGCCATTCATCCAGGGATTGTTGTTCAGTGCTAATCCCTTACTTTCAAGCTGTTTAAATATATTTTAAAAAATTAATGACTGCAGAAGAGAATATTATATTCTTTTTAAGATGATTCTTACTTTTTGGCCTGAGAGCAAACTTACATATTACATACAACCATAGATTCATGATCTTTCTAAAGCTGATTGGGATGTGAGAATTGTCAGAAAGCACAGAAATATGGGGTCTGAGTAAAGAATAGAGTGCATTGAAAGTCTTAGAGCAGAGACTGGGTTATGCAGTTGGAAGTATAGCCCTATTATTATTTCATAGTTGTCATGGCAAATGCCCACCCAAGGCTTTAGCATTTAAGGATGGTGTAACAATAGAACATAATTAACTGTAGGGGGTGTACTTGTGTGTGTTTGCACCAACCCTTGTTTGTATATCTTCATGACGTAAAAGAAAATACAGGGGCTGGAGATGTGGCTCAAGTGGTAGTGCACTTGCCCAGCGTGTGTGAGGCAATGTGTTCGATTCTTGGCACCACATAAAAATAAAATAAAGATATTTAAAAAATAAAATACATATTGGTGAATAGAGTAATTATTATTTTATTTTTTTGGTACTGGGGATTGGACCCAGGGCACTTAACCACTGATCCACATCCCCAGCCCTTTGTTATTGTTTATTTTGAGTCAGGGTCTTGCTAACAGGTTAGGGCCTTGCTAAATTGCTGAGGATGACTTTGAACTTGAGATCTTCCTACTTCAATATACTGAGCTGCTGGTATTATAGGTGTGCACCACTGCACCCAGCTGAATAGAATATTTAAGTAGACATAGTCAGGGGGACCTCAACACAAAAAGGAATATTAGCATATAACTGGGGCAATTTCACCATGGTTTTTTCTCCATGTGAGAGTAATTTTTTTTCACAGAAAATAGAGTGAGTAGTCCCTGAGAAAAAAATATGTCCAGAAGAGAACAAACAAATAGGGCAAGCTGATGTCTATGAAAGTTGGAATCCTGAGAGGAAAGAAAATGAGATGGAATTTCTCTGAGAGGAGCTTTGAAGAAAAAGTTTTTAGAAACTTTGCAGATAATCCTTAGTCAGAAAATTCAACTTTATGACCAAGAAGATGTTTCCTAGAATGGTGTCATTTCAGGAACAGTGGGAAGTACCACTTCTATTCCAATTTAGTCCTAAATCCACCTTGACTCCATTTCTGAAGGAAGTAAGAGAATTCTACCATTCAAACATCAATGATTTGATTAAAATCTCAGTCTTCTATTAAGTCCTTGAGTGGACAAAGTATTATCAAGTTAAATATGAATGTGAATACCTTTTAGGCTTTTATCAGAAATTACTAATAAAGGAAGAGCTCTGGCTCTATAGTGGTACTTAGGGAAGATAACCCAGTGGAGTGTGGAGTGCAGCTTTCCTTCCATATATCACCTGCCATCATTCAAGTACAAGTTCTCACCAACTTATATGTTATCATCATTCCTTAGTTAGACCAGTTGAAAAGCTCAGAATGACCTGTATTCTCCTTCAGTTTTACCTCTCTTGACAGCTAGGTACATCTCTAAACCAATTTGTAGAACAGGTTTCAGCTAAATTTACATACAGATTTTCAAATCAATCTGTGCCTATTCAAAGCCTGCATCCTAGGATATCTGCTCTTCATTGTTGAGAGGAAGAAAATAGGTTTATCAATATAGGCTGTAATTTGATGAACTAAAAGATGGGATACATTAGTTTTGATATAAAGTGATATGATATAGACTTGGTAAGAGTAAATATGGCAAGAAATTAATTGATTTTTGTAAAACATATTGAAGGAAACAATCTTTGTTGACATTTGTACACATCATGTACATGAACAAAGAAGAGTCAAGGCTACTCAAAGATTTTGAGTCTAAGTAGCAACAGTAATACTATTGAGATCCAGATGTTGGGAAAAGGAATTGAATTCAGAAGAAGGTATAAAATAAAAAGCCAGTTGGACTGCTAGAAGAAAATATAGGGTTAATACTCCAACATATTGTGAAGGTACTTACTTCCCAAATAAGACTCCTGGAGCTCAAAAAATAAAACCAAAAATAAATAAGTGGGATGGCATTAAATTTAAAAGCTCTATATAGCAAGGGGAATGATTAAAAGCATGAAGAGAAAGCCTACAGAACGTGAGCAAAATCTTTGACAGCTACTACTTTGACAGGGGATTAATATTCAGAATACTTAAAGAACTCAAAAAAATTAATACCAAGAAACCAGATAACCTAATCAATAAATGGGCAAAAGAACTAAATAGGTATTTCTCAAAAGAAGAAATACAAATGACCAACAAACATATGTAAACATGTTCAACTCCCCTAACAATCAGGGAAATGCAAATCAAAACTTCATTGAGATTTCATCTCATTCCAGTCAAAATCATAATTATAAAGAATACAAATACTATAAGTAATGAAAAGGATGTTGGGGAAAAGGTACACATTGATATATTGTTGGTGGGACTGCAAATTAGTACCTCTCTGGAAAGCAGTATTGAGATTCCTTAAAAAACTAGGAATGGCACCACCATATAATCCAGCTAACCCATTCCTTGGTATTTATCCAAAAGAACTAAAAGAGTATAGCATAGTGATATAGTCACATCAATATTTATAACAGTGTAATAGCAAAGTTATGCAACCAGCTCAGGTTCTTCAATAGATGAATGGATTAAAATATTATATACACACACACACACACACACACACACAATGAAGTTTTACTCAGCCATAAAGAAGAATGAAATTATTATATTTTCTGGTAAATATATGGAACTGGAGAATATTGTGCTAAATATGGCAATAAATTGATTTTTGTAAAATATTTTGAAGGAAACAATCTTTGTTGACATTTGTACACATCATGTACATGAATAAAGAAGAGTCAGGATTACTCACAGATTTTGAGTCTAAGTAACAATAGTAATACTATTGAGACTCAGAAAATCAAGAGTCAAATGTTTTCTCTCAAATGTGGAAGCTAGAGAAAAGTAAGGGAAAAATCATCAGAAGACATAAGAATAGAGGGAAGACCAGTGGAGTGGAAGGAGGCTAGAAGGGGGAGGGAAGGAAATTATGCTATGTGTATGTATAAATACACTACAGTGAATTCTACCTTTATGTATATCTATAAAGCGCCAATTAAAAATAAATAGATTAATAAACATAAGGAAGACAAGTAGAAGAGTAGAGAAAGGGGAATAAGGGTAGGAAGAAAGAGAGGGAAAGAGGAAGTCTGGGGACTAAAATGGAGCAAATTAAATTTCATGCATGTATGATTATGTCAAAATAAACTCAACTAGATATAACTATAATGCACTAACAAAAGCATAAAAATCAACAAAAAAATCCACTTGGAAAAATATTTGAAGAGTCAAAAGAAAGAACTATGATCATAGATAAGTAATGATTATTGACTCATTCCTGCTTAATTTATTTTTCAAGAGATATCCTCTCCATTTCCAACCTAAATTGTTGAGTTCAGTTTTATGACTTTGAATCTATTTCACAGTTGGCAAGGGGTGGGGTGGGTGGAAGACTTGGAAGTAGGAGATTTTCTAGCAAATTCTTAGAATAATGGATATTATATCTTTGTAAAAAATTTAACTTTAGGAATGAAAATTTGACATTGTTAGGTTTTGATGTTATTTTTAAACTAAACATTCCGAGAAAGAAACCCAATATATCTGTCAGTGCTGTTTATTCACAGATGTTCTTTAAATTTATATATTCTTACTTGATTAGAATAAATGGACTAGAAATTCACAGTCTTCTCACTTTTTATTGTTCCGAAAGTTTAAAAGTTTATAACGAATCCTCAGGAATTTTACATAGAGACATCATATGGTTTTACAATCCAAATGAGGAACTGAGACACTGAGAACTTAAGAGATATTTTGTGGTCTCTGAATTCCTATTATACCTTCCTGCTATTAATTTTATTGTCTGAAATTCTAGGGTTTGCATGAATGCTGAAATATAGAAGATAATTCCTGAATTACCTCTCCAGAAAAATGGAAATTAAAGACAACATTTACAAAAAAATAGTAAAACAATTTTATGAAATTGTTTATTAACTGGTAAATAATATCTATCTTTATCATTTAACCAGTTTCAGACATGCTTTTCTTGTGTAACTTGATTTTTTCTTTCAATGCATTTACCATTGTCTTTATATATATAAACCCATTTTATCACACAATTGGATAGTGTTGTATTTTTTAAAAATTTCAATATTGAAGTTTTGATTTTAAGTAAAAATTTACTATGATACAAATATAAAACTCAAAACATAACTATCAAATTTTTTTTGTTTATGTCTAAGCATAAGGATAAAAGCCCAAGGAGTGGAAACTCTGACCTGAAGAGACTGCTGGGAGATATCTGTGTTTCCTAATCCAGAGGTCCTGAAAGAATCAATGAGACTGTTGCTCTGGGCTTCATCTGAGGCAAAACAATGACTTCCTCCTAAAATGCAAAGGCATTAACCAAGTCAACTGTCTCAAAAATAAGTATTTATCTCATTTTAGTGCTAAATAAGGTAACAGTATAAACAAAATCACAGTTTTGTAAATATTATTAAAATAGACTGAAATAGATAAGTGCAAAGATTAACTCAGTGTTATTTCAGAAATACCATTAAGTTAAGCTGCCTTAGTACCTCACTTATCTGGAAAGTTTAGCTAGCTAACATGCATCAAATAACCACAGAAAGTGATCTCATTATGTTATCTATATGATTAAAAACTAAAACTTCTGTTATTATATGGAACTCTGAGCACTATGAAAACAGAAAGAAGCTGTAGGGCAGAAGCTAAAGAGAAGTTGTTGTGTTGTAAGGTTATATTTATGCCTTTTAATCAAAGGACTAGAATATATAGGTCATATTTTACCTGTTATTATGCTCATCTCCATTAATATTGTGTCAGCAGATGGTCCTAATGCAATAGAATGAATGATGACCCCACTTTGTTTCACTTTGTCTATGCAATTCCTTGCATTTTTGTCCTCTCCAGCAGTCACCAGTATTATTTCAGATCCATCTAATTGATGGTATTTTTCTCTAATTACCTAAAAACATAATTCAGGTCATTAATTATCAGTTGGCCCAGTTCAAATGAACTGATGAGGAATTAGAAAAAATAATTTAGAGGAAATAAAACTATGTAGAATAGGTAAGATAAACTTTATTTTGAAATAATAGAATCTGTAATCAATAAACCTTGGGGAAATTTAAATACAACTTTTATTTTTGTTTTCCTGCTGCAGGGAATGTTCACTTAAATAAAGTTATAAGAAGCAGGCCTGTGGAAATCTTCCTATGTTAAATGTTAGTGATGACTCAGACTGTGAAATTCAGGTCAACCAGACACCAAAACCATAATTAGGTAAGTGGCATTGACTGTGTTTCTACTTTCTTTGACTCGATTACACTGTAAAAAGCTTTTTATATACAATGGAACATTACTTAGCATTAAAAGTGAATAAAATCATGGCATTTGCAGGTAAATGGATGGAGTTGGAGAATATAATGCTAAGTGAAATAAGCCAATCCCCAAACCCCAAAGGCCGAATGTTTTCTGTGATATGAGGATGCTGACTCATAATGGCCATGGGGTTGGGGAGCATGGGAGGAATGGAGGAACTTTAGATAGGGCAAAGGAGATAGAGGGGAAAGGAGGGAGAAAGGGGACAGGAATGATGGTGGAATGAGTTAGACATCATTACCCTAAGTACATGTATGAAGGCATGAATGGTGTGAAAATACTTTGTGTACAATCAGTGACTTGAAAAATTGTGCTTTATGTGCAATATGAAATGAATTACATTCTGCCATCATGTATAACAAATTAGAATAAATAATTAATTTAATAAAAAATAAATTAAATTTTAAAAAAAGAGACAATTGAGGACCAGAAAGTGAAGAATTGCACTTAATTCAATTAGAATTTAAACCTAGCATTTCATGTTGGAAACATACACTAGAATGTCATGCAATTCAGAAAAGGGTATGAGATTCTGTAGGGGTAGGAGTAGCAGACAAAGCTACAAGAAGAAGAGAAGATTTTGAAGAACTGGTAGAATTATAACATGCAAAGACAGGAAAGAAAAATACATTTTGGCAGAGAAATTTCATGAGCGAAAGTATGGGGCAGCTAGCACTTGGTGGGCTTGGAGCACAATACGTGCAGTAAATTTTTGGAGCATAGAGCAGAAGGGAAGAACTGAGAAGAAGACTGGGAAAGTAAAAGAAGCTGGAAGGCTCCGAATAACATCAGGCAGACAAATTCAGATTTAATTTTATAGACTGAGGGGACAGAGAGGATTTCCAAGAAGGAAAATGACACTGATATTGATTATAAGTGCAAGATGACCATTTGGATAAAAGTGAGATTCATAATAGCAGCTATTAAACATCATATATTACTTGAGAGTATAGCATTACGGTTCTAAATATGTAAATGTATCGTTTCATTTAACCTTCATAATAATCCTATATTGTGGACATTCTTGGCCCAAAGTGTTGTTATACAAGGTAATTTGTTTGTTGCCCTAAAAATTGGTGACTTTTGCTGCCTTAGAACATTAATTTAACAACCATTTATTTAGCACTGATTTTTCCATGATAACAAGACAGAAAAAATCCACAAAGTGAATTTTTATCCATTTATTCACCCAACAATTTATTCATTGAGTAAATGATTCATTTAAACATTATTTGAGTTTATTTCTATGGGCTTAGTGCTGTGCTTTTAATTATGTTAAAAACAGCAGAAAGTATGTGCAGTAGCAATTAACAGAAGTTTCCTTACAAATTAAAGAAGTCTAACTATTTTTGAGAGAGAATTTTCACCTGAAATGCAGCTTCAATTCCAGAGCAGATGGAAATTCCTCCTGAAGCTTCTGTAGGTAAGCTCTCTAAGAGCTTTCCTCTTTCATTGTTGCTTATTATTTGAACTAGCTGACTTTTGATTTGGGCAGTGATATCATACTCAACTATTCCTACCCAGGATCCATTTTCAATGGTTTGAAGAAGGAAATATTTGGCTGCTTGATTCATTCGATTTAGCCGGTTAAAATCCTAAAAAATAAACCACAGGAAAAAGAACCAAATAGTTTTGACTAAAGTATAATAACAGATCACACAAAATATGTTGATAAGACTTTTCTATAATAGTAACTTGTCTTATTAAAGGAAGCAATTATAATATTTTACAATTGATAAAATAGAAAAATAGTGTTATATATATTACAGAACATGTGTAGTTATCAAGGATCTCATCTCTCTTTAACTAGAGATGATTCTTGGTCACTAAGCAACCAAATTAGTTATGGGGAGAGATGAGGAATGGATTGAAATTGGGGACTGATAATGCATATTGTAGAGACCCTATTATTACTCCTTAAAGTCTCGGTGCCTGCTGGTTCAAGATAAAAACTGCCCTAGAGCTCACAGAATCAATTCATGCTGTGGTGGATGGACCTCAGTCAGAGACTAGAGTCTTTCAATCAGCTGGGCACTAGATTACCAGACTCCAAAGGCAAAACTTATCAGAGATTCAAATGAATCCTGAGAGACTCAGTTCTTGCCTCTGGAAAAAAAATATATGTATATATACATATGGATGTATATATATTTGACTTTCAAACATACCTTCCCTATTTGGTGAAGAATGTATTTTTGATCTTTAGCATTCTCTATTCTGCCTCAAATATGCCATCCTACTGGGTACTTCATCATATTGCATCTGTTTGTTTGTAATGCATTCATTTCAACAATTATTTATTGATTATCCATATGTGATAAAGTCTGCTCTAAGGCAATAGGGATGCAAAGATGATTCAGTAAAAGTTTTGATATCACATGAAGCTCCCAATGTATTAGGGAAAGGCATTTAATCTATTCTGGGGAATGAGGATAAAAAGATAAATAAGACATGAATCCAAGTCCTAGAGAAGTTCCCAGTCTGTTATGGTTTAGATATGACGTATCCCCCCAAAGCTCATGTATGAGACAGTGCAAGAATTTTCAGAGGTGAAATGATTGGTTTATTGAGAGCCTTAACCTAATCAGTGCATTAATCACAGATATGGATTAATTGAGCAGTAACTGTAGGCAGGTAGATATGGCTAGAGGAGGTAGGTCACTGGGGGTGTGACTTTGGGTTTATATTTTGTCCCTAGTAAGCAGAGCTCCTTCTCCCTGTTGCCATGTGATGAGCTACTCTCCTCCACTGTGCCCTTCTGTCATGGTATTCTGCCTGACCTCTGGCCCACAATCATGGAACCAGCTATCTATGGACTAAACTTCTGTACCATGAATCCCAGATAAACCTTTCCTCAGATAATTGTTCTTGTTAGGTCTTTTGGTCAAAGCCATGAAAACAAAAGTGACTAAAATGTAGTCTTAGGAGAGATGTTGTGTCTGATATCAAAATAATATATGGAGACCATCAGAAGGACCCTTAGTCCATCTACTCCTGGAGAACATATTTACCAAAGTTTGAAGGATGAGTCTGAGTTAACCTGCTAAAAAAGAAGGAGTGAGAAAATGTTATGTATTCAACTAGACACTCCTCAAGTACATGGATCTCTATTCTTAAAGTCTAGCACAAATACCTACTATTTACTGAATGTAGAAATTACTGGTTGGATATTGCCATTTATTTTTCATGGTGATGAATTTTACTTGGTTCTCTGAACATAAATCATTTATATAGGTGGTACATATCAGATAAAGCTGCATTAAGAATTCTTATTGATCTTGTTCCTTAATCTGATTTATAAAGTTTGGCAGCCTCTAATCCACTTTATTTTCATGTCTTTCAATTATTTCCAGTAGATAAAAAAGCAAAGAAAATATATCCATATTTCAATCCATAATTCTGAGTCTCTAAATTAAAACATTACTAAGGGCCTAAAAGTCTTAATACTAAGACTTCACCCTTTTCTAGAAAAAAAGGAATATTTCAGTTTGGCTTGTTTAACTCTGTTGGCAACTTTCCTTCAATAAAATATTTCACTGTCCTTCTTGAGGTCCTTACTACAGAAAGTAGTGTCACTTTCTGTCATTGTGAATTTAGAATAACCCAGGTACAGGAAGAGCTCAGAGGGTTCTTATCTATACAATCTTACGAAACTTACCTTCATGTTTTCAGACTTATCAAGAACTAAACACACAATTCTTTCACTGATCCTCAGCAATGAGAAGGCAGGTGGAGGGGGCAGTGCCACCATAGGCACAGTGTTTTTAAAATCCTCAGAATTGCTGATTACTTCCCATGTACTTCTGAAATTGCACTTTATATTGTGTAGGCTTGGAGCTTCTTGGTTATGGTTTTTTGCATTACAGAATTCAACAACCTGGGAGGTTAATATAATGAAAAAATATTTTATGCATTTGAAAATCTGTAAACCACCCAAATATCAATCTCTTAGGCAATTTTGTTTTTTTGAATAAAATATGACTCATTCAATCAAAATTATAAGGCACATTTTCAATAATTATAATGATAATAACTAAAACCAAGAGCTTATCATGTGCCCATCAATGTTAAAAGAACTTTTTATTAATACTAATACATTTAATCCCTTATTACACCTGTAGAGATGTTTTTAAAATATATATTCTTTGATTATAAATTCTTATAATATTTTAAGTATTGGCATACTTACAGAATCAAAACTTTGCATAAACATTATGGATGCCTTTTCTGTTTGGATTTTATCAGGTAAGAATTGACAGTTCTTTTCATATAATTTGGTTGTAGAATTAATTTTACATGATCTATTTAAACAATTGTCTCCTTGACATATATAAACTCTATTTCTGCCGGTGATACCTATGGAACACCTGAGAATATTTGACAATTAATCTTTCAGGCAATTTAGGCATTAGCTTAAAAAAATCTTTAGAGGTTGTATTTATGATGATCACAGTTTTTCTTTCTATTTTATACTGTATACATCCTATTTTGCTATCAAGCATTAAAAGTTCCTATCAAAGCAATTATCTATTTTCTAAATATCGCAGAGGGAAATTTTTGGTGGGACTTCCTGATAGATGAAAAGGCTGATTTCTTTGTGGGATTAGTTGCTGCTGTCTTGTTTGCACTAATGGCTAGAAGTTCCCCTCTCTCAGATCTCTTCCTGCTGGCCTTATATTGGTAAGTGCAGGCACCTGGATGAGGGAATTAGAAAACCAATCACTCTGGATATCACCTTAATTTTAAGTTCTTTGTAGATTTCTTTTAAAAAGAGACTTCTACAGAAGGATATGTAATGACATAGCCCCAAATGCTTTGATTATTCAAGGAGAATTTTTATCCAAAGGGAAATGTGACTGTGAGAAGACAGTGAGGTGCTGTCAAGAAGGATGATACAATAAAAAATTATGAAGGAATTTTAGACACATGTTTCATTGCATGGAATCAGCCACAAGTGGCAGTGATTATAGCAAATATACTGGGATGTAACTGTATCTCATTTTTTCCATAGGCTCCAGTTCAAATCGAAAATGATAACTGGATTTCATTGTCATTTAGTGAGTATCTTAAATATGTATGCTTCCATTGCCCAAAACTTGGTGGATCTGTATGAACAATCATGATGAATATTCTGCAGCAGGAACTAGATATTTAGGAGGAATATGACATAAACAAATGTAATCAATGTAATACTTTAAAAAATATTCCCCTGAAAATTGATATGGGGCAGAGGAAAGGTCTTTGTTGAAATCCTGTACCTTTCAGTTTGTTCATTATGATAAATCCATAGCCCCAGGAAGACATATGACATTCATGAAGTTGATGGCACCCAATTTTAAGAGGATTCCCCCAATCATTTTGCTCTATCAATATAAAAATCAAGAGGATAGGCTATTATTACCTATGATGCTAGGTTGAAGTTCTAAAATGACCTTTATAAATACCTAAGAAGTTCCTGTTTGGCTCCTGAAAGCTGTTTGGCTTCTAACTCAGTCCACATTTAGCAGTACTTAACCATTTTTATTTATTCTTATATAATAGGAATAACTTTGATCTCCCAATATATGGTAAGTCTATCTATCTAGTGTACAACTTCAGTCTGAGTTCTGGCAGCTATGGTAGACAGGTGTAAAATATGTCAAATTGTCTATAAATGCTCTGGAAGTTATGTGAACTTTAATTAGACAATCAGCTGCTTTAAACTATACATAGACACACACACATACATATATATATATACAAGTACACAGATGTTTTTATTTCTTAAAATAACTTATTATATATATGTTATTTTAAGAAATAAAACATCAATTATTATATATATGTTATATATAATTACATTATATATAAGTAATTTAAAGAAATAAAAACATCAATTATTACATATTGAGGCAAACATGAATGTCATTTGAAAAAAGTCAGAGAAAGGAAAATAAGACCAGTTAAAAGCCTCAGGTCATCAAAGAATTTGAGTATCCATGCCTTGTTGCTTCAATTTTTTTTGACTTGGAGAAGTAGTAAGGCTTCTCTTCATTGTACTCATCAAACACTCCCCAGCGGAGATGGGCCCACTCATGGACAAACACTTTACCTGTGGGAAAACATTTCAAATATACAGTTATATCAGGTGACAATTTTTTTCTGTTAAATATTTAACTGTGAACATTTAATGTTTTTATATAGTATATCATATGACATTACAGTTTATTACAAAATACAGCATATCACTATTTTTAATTACACAAGTTTGATAAAGAAAACATTTTTTGAGTATTTGCATGGACCTCAAAAGATTGTTCTTCAGGCATTTGTAGCTATATATTAGGAGAGACTAACATTTACAACATAGTTTGTAAGTTTGTTCAGGTCAGGAAAGACAACATTCTTTTTGCATTATTTATCTTTATATATCTATCCACCTAATTATTCATTTATTATTTTATTCATCTAAATTTTGTTGCCCACTTTTAATTGTGTTCTTGAACAAATTATTTTTCTATGCCACAATTTCTTATACTAAAATGCATTCTCAAGGGAATAGTAATGTTTTTAATGGGGCAAAAATTTGTTCTTGGGGGTAAAAAGTCAGATATTACAATGATGTGAGTCTCAGGATCCTAAGTCCAAAGCTAACAGTGTAAATAGTAATATAGTGTTTCTGGGACAGTAAAATGTCATAAGGGACATTAGGAAAAATTGCATAAGAAGGTTCAATTACATGAGTAAAGATGATAAAAAGATGGATAAACTCTACTATAGATTATATATAATTACAGTGATGTGGAAATAAAATGATTCATTCAAAGTGCTTAATACATCATTAACCTGCATTATATAACAATTACTATTATTTATATTTATCATGGCACTAGACACCAGAAAATATGAAGATGAGTAAGACACAGTCCTTGGCTTGGAACTGCTTAGAGATGAGAAAATTCAAACCATTTTTTTTCCTAAAGAACTCAGTGGATGGAAGGATATAAATAAATCAACAGTGTAAGTTGCAGGAAGGAAAACAAGTGAGGGGAATTTTGCATTAGCCATGATAAGTAAAAAACTTCTCAGGATCTGGGT